TTAATACCTGTAACAAGTGTTCTGTATACATACTATGCATGTATACATGGTATGCATGGTGTGAATGTTTTGCATGAGTTACAAAGTATAAAAAAAAAGAAAAAATATTTAGTTTTGGATAGAATAATGTCAGATGACCTATCATTGAGAGAACACATTAAGACAAATACTACAACAGCCAGAAAAATAGCAGGTTAGATAATGTGAACATTCAAGAGAAGAATGTTGTTTGGTGTTGGCATCTCTGTTCAAGGCAGAAGAAATATTGAAGCTGAAAAAAAGTTAAAAAAAAAATTTATTCCCACACAGAATCAGTGAAGTAATTAACCTTTTCAACGTACAAGTAGTCAAGGATTTACATCAGTGATGTACCTATACACAAAATTCACTGCATCTTCAAATTCATCATGAGTGGCAAATTTAGACTTCGACAGGTGAGGATGGGTCTGGGCTCAAGTGAGGATGGGTCTGGGCTTAGGTGAGGATGGGTCTGGACACAGGTGAGGATGGGTCTGGGTGCAGGTGAGGATGGGTCTGAGCTCAGGTGAGGATGGGTCTGGGCACATGTGAGGATGGGCCTAGGCACAGGTGAGGATAGTTCTGGGCTCAGGTGAGGATGGGTATGGGCACAGGTGAGAATGGGTCTGAACACAGGTGAGGATGGGTCTGGGCACAGGTGAGGATGGGTCTGGGCACAGGTGAGGATGGGTCTGGGCACAGGTGAGAATGGGTCTGGACACAGGTGAGGATGGGTATGAGCACAGGTGAGGATGGGTCTGGTCACAGGTGAGGATGGGTCTGGGGACAGGTGAGGATGAGTCTGGTCACAGGTGAGAATGGGTCTGGCACAGGTGAGGATGGGTCTGGGTACAGGTGAGGATGGGTCTGGTCACAGGTGAGGATGGGTCTGGGGACAGGTGAGGATGGGTCTGGTCACAGGTGAGGATGGGTCTGGGCACAGGTGAGGATGGGTCTGGGCACAGGTGAGGATGGGTCTGGTCACAGGTGAGGATGGGTCTGGGCACAGGTGAGGATGGGTCTGGGGACAGGTGAGCATGGGTCTGGTCACAGGTGAGGATGGGTCTGGGCACAGGTGAGGATGGGTCTGGGCACAGGTGAGGATGGGTCTGGTCACAGGTGAGGATTAGTCTGGGCACAGGTGAGGATGGGTCTGGGCAAAGGTGAGGATGGGTCTGGTCACAGGTGAGGATGGGTCTGGGCACAGGTGAGGATGGGTCTGGGCACAGGTGAAGATGGGTCTGGGTCAGTGTGTGCAGTATAGAAAAGTTTGTGTCCCACACACAGCATGATGAAAGCAGCTACACTCTCAACCTTTGTTAACCAAGAAGAATGAGATGCTTGTGTAGTATTTCAAAATCTTTATTGGTGAAACATTTCACCAGTCAGTGGCTGGCTGAAATGTTTCACTAGCCAGTGGCTGGCTGAAATGTTTCACCAGCCAGTGGCTGGCCAAAATGTTTCACCAGTCATTGGCTGGCTGATATGTTTCATCAATAAAGATTTTCAAATATTGTACAAGTGTCACATTGCTCAACTTGTGGGTTTTCTATACTATTACATCACAGTTTGTTAACCATGGTGTGCAGATGGGAATCCCTCACTCCTGTACAATTAACCACTGTTGCCATCAAATGGTGGTAATAGTGAGAATAATGATTCTGATGTAGAGTTCCATAAATTTGAGATGAAAGTGAGTAAAAATGACACTGGTAATCCCACATATTACAACTCCAGCCCAACAAATCCCATCTACTCTGGAGCCTGGTAATAACATGTGTTACTTAGCCATAATTCCTCTCACTGTATAAAGACATTAAAGGCTTAGAAGACATGTGCATGCTCATGCCATGAGAACTCCACCACATGACAAAGATATGAGATATACTCTGTACAAATCTTGAAACTCATCAAAGTTCTGACAGGTATGAGGTAAGTTTTGTGAAATACAAGAGTGCTTTATTCCTTGTTTTGAAGAATTTCCTCACACTGAAAGAATTATACTAACTTTTACACTGGTTGCACATAATGTATATACATTAACCCTTAAACTGTCCAAACGTATATCTACGTTCACTTGCTTGGCGCTCCGAATATTTTGAAAAATAAAGAAGTCCTTTTTTTTTTTCTTTTAAAATGAAGAGCACATTTTTCTACTTGTTATAGGATTAAAAAAAAAAAATTAGGGTCAGTGCTTACCGAGATATAAGACCATGAAGTTGGCTCTGGATGCTCACCTGTCGGCAACATCGATGCCTGCCGCTTGCAGAAGTGTTGCCGATATACCTTTTTTTCTCATTTTTATTTTAATTTATAAATTTTTTATGTTCTGATAATTACAATTTATAATAATTCTTGTAATTTCATAGCCAGTCTTTGTTCTGACACTAATGTTAGGTATTTAAATAGTGCTCAAATAATCACAATCACATTGACAGGTGAACATTTAGACCTGCCTGGGTTATTTACTATTGTCTAGAATTATATACAAAGTATTTATAGGTCCCAGCAATGTTTTAGATACCTTGAAGCATGGTGTTATGAAAGGCATCCCTATACTCTTGACAGCCCAGTGACATTTGATAAATGTCTACTGCTCCAGCTAACCCTCGCTGTATTTGTTATCACTGTTACACACAAACATGTCTTGTCTCTCTGTCTATTTATCTGCCTATCTGTCTGCCTGTCTGCCTATCTGCCTGCCTGTATGTCTCTGTTTATGTCTTTCTGTCTGCCTGGAGTATATGTATATCGCACTCCTTGAAGAATTGTGTTATGACATCTGTTATCGGGTTGAAGACATTTGATAAATGGGTGCTCGGGGAACCCTGGCTTTATTTGTTGTCACTGATACACAAACATGTTTCTATCTATCTATCTGTCTATCTATTGGTCTGTCTATCTTTGCCTGGAATTTTTGGGTTATCCTAGGTAATTTACACAATGTATAATAACTGTACTTATATGTACATGTGAGACAGAGATATAGATAAACAGAGATATAGACAGATAGAGATATAGACAGAGAAACAGCCAGAGACAGCCAAAGCAAGCCAACCGGCCAGCCTGCCGAATATATGAGAACATTAGAAAGAAGGAACACTGCAGCAGGCCTACTGGCCCATGCAAGGCAGGTCCATGTCACCCTCCACTCCCTCTGGCTTAGACCAATGACCAACCTAGTCAGGTCACATCCATTGAAGGAAGGAGCATGACATCAGACCTAGTAGCACAAGCTAGTCAGGTCCAACTCACACCCACCCACACTCACTCATGTATTTATCTAACCTGTTTTTACTTTCCTCTTAAAATGGGAGTGTTAATGTGACATGGCATCAGTGAATCCCTGGTGTTTGCCCTGCTATTTTCTCTAGCTGGCACTCAGTTGAGCTGGTGCTCCCACAAGGTACTAAGTGCTCCCAGATTTTATTAATAGTGCGCACACTGAGTGAACAGACCCATTTTTTCATGTCTAGGCGACTCAAGCCTATTGTGCCAAATTTAAAGGAATGAAAAATTAAATGTTGATCTGCGTTTGGAGCTCTACGCGTGCAAACGTAGATCTACGTTTGGACAGTTTAAGGGTTAAAAACAGTCTTCTTCCTACCGCTTCCTCCTTCCTCCTCCTCATCCTTGTCCTTGTCTTCATCCTCCTCTTTATCCTCATCCTTATCATCATCATTATTCTCCTCCTCCTTCCATCCCTCCCTTCCTTCCTCCCCTAAGATGACAGGTGAGTCTTACAAACTTGTACCTTACATTCAGCATACACTTTACTATCTTGTACCTTACATTCAGCATACACTTTACTATCTTGTACCTTACATTCAGAATACACTTTACTATCTTGTACCTTACATTCAGCATACACTTTACTATCTTGTACCTTACATTCAGCATACACTTTACTATCTTGTACCTTACATTCGAACTTTACTATTTGTACTCATACAGCATTACTTTACTATCTTGTACCTTACATTCAGCATATACTTTACTATCTTGTACCTTACATTCAGCATAACTTTACTATCTTGTACCTTACATACAGCATACACTTTACTATCTTGTACCTTACATTCAGCATATACTTTACTATCTTGTACCTTACATTCAGAATACACTTTACTATCTTGTACCTTACATACAGCATACACTTTACTATCTTGTACCTTACATTCAGCATATACTTTACTATCTTGTACCTTACATTCAGCATACACTTTACTATCTTGTACCTTACATACAGCATACACTTTACTATCTTGTACCTTACATTCAGCATATACTTTACTATCTTGTACCTTACATTCAGCATATACTTTACTATCTATCTTGTGTGCTTTAATACCTCTTATTCCTGAACCATTAGTTTACTGGTTTATGAGATCAGGTCTGAGACTGTGCCTGCCACTCACCCAACAGTCTCTCCAACTATAAAAATATATATATAGAGTTCCCTTCTTATTTTATCTTTTATCCTCTGTATCTGTGTTAATTTTAGCCATCTGCCCAGTGTTATTACACATTTATGTTTTGAATAAACAATTAGTAGTGTGCAATAAGATCACAGTAAACACATGATATCATAAGTCAAGCCGAGCCCTACTTATACAGCAGGTTAGGTTCCAGGCTACTGCCGTACAGGAGAGCCCCCATTTATACCACAGGTTAGGCTCCGGGCTACTGCTGTAGAGGAGGGCCCCACTTATACAGCAGGGTAGGTTCCTGGCTATTGCTTATAGTGAGTGGTAAATATATTTAAGTATTTTGAATAAATGAAGAATAGGTATTAGTGAATTGCTGTAAAATGATGTGTTGTAAAGTGAGACTTTTGTGATTTCTGACATTATCAGGTCCTTCATGATGAGAGAAATCACAAAAGTACTTGGAATTTCACTATTTTTTCACAATGTTTTGCAATTAGTAATGTAAGAAAATAATTGTAATGACAGTAAAATGCCGTTATTGTTTTTTTTCAGGTATGATTTCTATATCATTTGTGCACCGCATGTACCAGCTGTGGACGAAAAACCCTCTAACTAACAGATGGTGGGCCTCCAGCGTCTTTGTTGTGTAAGTTGTATGTTACTGTTGTGTAGGTTATATACTACTGTTGTGTAAGTAATACATTTCTGTTGTGTGTTATACACTACTGTTGTGTAGGTTATTATACACTACTGTTGTGTAAGTTATTATACACTATTGTTGTGTAGGTTATTATACACTACTGTTGTGTGTTATACACTACTGTTGTGTGTTATACACTTCTGTTGTGCTTTATACACTACTTTTAATAATAATAATAAGAATACAGCCTCTCCTCACTTACCAAGTAGTATTCATTTACCAAGAACTCGGGGTTACGACAGGCTCTCTGACGAGTTGTTATTGTATACTGTACAAGAACTTGAGTCATGAATGGGCAGCGCAGCATCTCGACATCAAGCATCTTAACCCTTTGACAGTTGTAAGCCCATTTCAGAAACTGTAATTCTGTGTTGCAAAATTATTGAAAAAAAAAAAAAAATCTTACGAAATGATAGAGAATCTTTTCCCAGTGGTAACAACACTAAAAGTATGAAATTTGATCGAAAACTTGTGGAATTACATTCCCGTGAAGTTAGCAATCTTGGCGATATATACGCATCAGCGATTTTGTCGAATTTGAGCCCTATTTTCAGCCAATTCCATTGTTCCAGTTGACCAAACTCATAGCTATTTCTTTAGAACTCCATTTTTTCTATCAGTTGAGTATAAGAAACTGCCCATTTACCAATTTCAACTACTCAATAAAGTGGTCAGAAATTGGCAATTTGGCCAATTTCATGCAAATTAGAAAAGATGCCAATTTCAAAATAGGGTCCAAAATAAACAATGCAGACATTCTTGGCACTAAAATAACATACCTTCTGTTCATTAGTCATGTCTCCAGGCCCCTCTTATATTACTCTTGCTTTCTATTTTGATTTTTTATTCACACAAAAAATAGATTTACTGTTATGCAGACTACTGCATTATTGTAAAAATGGTATAAATAATATCAGTGCACTAGTGAAAGAATATTAGACTCCCCAGTTGATGTGTATTGGATGTGTGGTGTGATTTGCTTGCTCTTGAACATTGGTAAAAATCGAACATTTCCGCTACTTTGAGCTCAGTTTCAAGGTTGTTTTCATCGTGAAACTAATCAAAATCATCTCTATTTCTGTAATATGTTTCCTATTCTATCAAAGGAGACCAAGAAAACGAGAATACAACCATAAATACTATACGAAAATACACCTCAAAGTCGGCATTTTAATCCAAAAACACGGTCGGAGTTTTTTTTTTCTCATTATGCACTACGTGCTGCAGGATTTTTTTTATACAGTGCACACTGACCACACAGACCCATTCTCTTACATGTGGGTTTACCAGCTTTCTCCTCCTGGATTTGAAGCCACTTGAATTTTTGAATGATGGTGAAAGTTTTTCTTTTTCGGGCCACCCTGCCTTGGTGGGAATCGGACAGTGTGATAATAAAAAAAAAATACACATCTGAAACACTGGCTCGTAAGACATATATATACAGGCCGAAACAGTCAAAGGGTTAAGGAGGCGATGAACCTTTTTTTAGTAATAAAAAAATTGAAATTGAAAAATTATGGAAAACAATGTTTTCTTACCAGTAAATAGTACATAATTCTGGCAACATGTTGATGGCATCAGCTTGTTTCTATCATATTTCTAAGTATGTTTTTCCACAAATATAATTTTTTTTGTTCTTGATGTCAGCAAGGGGACATGGTGGCAATTAGTGTTTTGTTTTGTTTTGTTACTCCAAAAATTACAATTTTTATGATTGTTTCATTCTAAATACTCTACATGGCAACTTCTGTGAAGAGAGCGGTGATGTTGTCCCTCAGTAGCCTGGAAGCTGTCAACAACTTATATTGTCTCCTTTATTTTAGCTTTAAAGAACTACCTTAGCTCAAATTTTTTACATTTGTTAAAATAACTCAGGTGCTATTTTATAGCTTTAGAATATATACTTTGTCTTATACTTAATTCTAACTATAGATTCACTATAAATCTTATGATAACAAGCATTGATCCTGATACTAACCTTTTATTGAATGACTTAAATGAATCACAGCAGAACAATCAAAGGCACTTCTCAGAGCCAACAGAAACATAACTGTCTTTAACTACAATATCAGATCTTTAAGTAAACATTACGATGACCTCATAGCATTACTAAATTCCCTGCATTCCAGTATATCCATCATTACTCTCACCAAAACCTGGCTAAAGCCTGATACTACAGATGTCTATGCCATACCTGGTTACACAGCCATACACAACTGTAGGCCAGATCAACAAGGGGGTGGCACAGCTATGTACTACTCAGACCAACTAGAATATATTACTTAAACTTGCACAAGGGATGAACATGGGGAATATATAATAGCTAAATTCAAATCCAGATACCTACAAAAACCTCTCACAGTGATAAACATCTGCAGAGTACCACAGTCAAACATTAGCCATTTTAGTGAAAAACCTAGGAAGTATGATAACTGATGCACGCATGAACAAAGATCACTCACTACTCTCAGGTGACTTCAATATAAATCTCCTGCAAGACCAGGACCCACACGTTACTGAATTCACAAACACTATGAGTAACTGCATGTTGCTACCAGCAGTAACAAAACCTATAAGAGTTACAGAGACTAGTGTTTCCCTACTGGACCACATCTGGACCAACACCATATCCCCTTCAAAATCAGGCATAATCACAGATAATACCACAGACCACCACCCTACCTTCCTCATCACAAACCTTGGCAAATTACCCCAAGACACTACTAAAGTCACTTTCAGACTTCACAATGAGGCAGCCATTAATAACTTCACAACAGCAGTGACAAACATTGACTGGCACACTGAGCTAGAAATCTATACAGATATTGACGAATGTATTAATAATTTTCTAAAAAAGACCCAATACCTTTATAACAAGCACTGCCCCAAAAAAACTAAACAGATGACAGCTAAGAGACTGAACAGTCCCTGGCTAACACCCAGCATCCTCAAATCCATAAATACAAAGCACCTATACGAAAAACAGTACAGAATGGGTCACATAACCAGAGACCAAACAAAACCTTGCTCGTCTATCCTAACCAGCCTGATAAGAAGGGCTAAAAAACTATTATGAGAACAGATTATCCAACTTACAAGGTGATATAAAAAAGACCTGGAAAACCCTATCAGAAATTCAAGGAACAAAAAGATACCACGAAATAGCGAAATTGAATTAACAAAACTAGATGAACCCCAACTCCCACCTACTGAAACAGCAGACTCAATAATTTCTTCTCCACTATAGGAAAAATCCTTGCCAATAAAATCCCAAGCTCAGATACCCCACCCAATGACTACCTCACTGGCAACTACCTGAACACATTGTTCCGAGCTCCGACTAACCCTACTGAAGTCTCCCTTATTATCAACACACTAAAAAACAAGACAGGAGATTTAAATACCTTACCACCCTTTATATACAAAAAAGCGTCACAAGTACTATCACCAATCATTGCAACGCTCTTTAACAAATCCATAGAATCCTCTACCTTCCCTACAATTCTCAAAATAGCAAGGGTCACCCCGATCCACAAAGGAGGAGACCAAACAGCCATGAATACCTATAGGCCAATATCTAACTTACACCCTCTCTCTAAAATCTTCAAAAAATTATTTCATAAGCGAATCTATTCCTACCTCATTGCCCACAACATACTCAACCCCTGTCAGTTTGGGTTCAGGCCTAATAAAAATACTAATGATATTATTATACACATCCTAGAACACATATACACTGCAATAGAGAAAAAAGAAGTCCCACTGGGGATCTTCATAGACTTACGTAAAGCTTTTGATACAGTTGACCATGACTTGCTCCATATAAAATTGTCGCACTATGGTATAAGAGGGCACTCCCTCAACTACCTTAAGTCTTACCTCAGCAACAGAAGCCAATATGTGTACACAAACGGGGCAAACTCTTCAGCACAGCCAATTACAGTTGGTGTCCCACAGGGAAGTGTTCTAGGCCTTCTTCTCTTTCTCATATACATAAATGACCTACCAAATGCATCGCAACTACTCAAACCCACACTATTTGCAGATGATACTACATACATCTTCTCTCACCCGAGCCCAGTCACGCTAGCCAATACTGTAAATACTGAATTACAGAAAATATCTACCTGGATGAGTACTAACAAACTTACTCTAAACATTGACAAAACCTACTTCATTCAGTTTGGTAACAGAGCTACAGATGTCCCTCTTAACATAATGATAAACGGATCACCTATCACAAAACTCACAGTGGGAAAATTCTTAGGAATCCACCTTGATAATAGACTTAAATTTCAAACACATGTACACCAAATTTCCAAAAAAATTTCCGAGACTGTAGGCATGCTATTGAAAATACGGTACTATGTTCTACAGTCAGCCCTCCTGGCCCTATTTCACTCACTTATTTACCCCTTTCTCACCTATGGAATTTGTGCATGGGGCTCAACAACAATAAACCATCTCAGACCACTAATCACCCAACAGAAGGCTGCAGTCAGAAAGATAACAAATTCCCACTACAGACAACACACTCCACCAATACTCAAAACTCTAAACCTACTCACAATACAAAACATCCGTACTTATTATTGCACCTGCTGCATACATAGAACACTTAACTCTGACATAAACCCTCCCCTCAAACATCTCCTTACAACCCTTAACAGAACACATGACCATAACACAAGGCACAGATCACTCTTTGATGTTCCTCGTGTCCATCTCACACTATGCAAAAACTCAATGCACATAAAAGGCCCTAAAATCTGGAATTCATTACCTGTGAATATAAAAGAAACACTGTCTGTTTATAAATTCAAGTCTCTTCTCAAAAATCACTTACTCACCCACAACTAAATAAATACTGAATAATTGTATCTCATAAATTGTATCTCATATATGTATCTCATTATTGTATCTCATAAATGTCAACCTGTGACCCA